TTGTGAACAATTCATCCATACATGTTACTTCTATTGTTGACATTTTTAATAAATGTCATAACACAATCTTTTTATACGACACTTCTCTCTGGTGATTTATGTTTGGAAATGTTTTATTTTATGATACAACACATTTTTTTAAGAAAGTTTGTTTGTAGTCAACAAATGCTAGTGGAACTTAGAAATAATTACAAAGAAAGGGCATTGTTTTAAACATCAAATTTAAAACGTATTTTCTTGTAAAATGTACTCCAACAAGGTTTTATTTACAACTTCGAAAATCATTCTTTACAAGTGTACATTTTGTTTAATAATCATACTCAAAAACAAAGTTACGTTGGTACTAAAGCAGTTTCAGCTGGTCATTATAGTGAAATAAAGCACAACCCATGTCCTTCTATCATCCTGAATGCGGTTTATTTTCCAATAACGACTAATTCTCTGTACATTACTGCACGTAAGACAAATTACTTATTAAATAAACAAACTAATGGCCGTGAAATAATGGTTTAAGCCGAAATTATAATGGGCCAAGAGACCACAGAGTGAAATGAGAGATGTGCAACTAACACAGCAAACACAAAAATGTTTAACCACAGAATATTGCCATCGACCAATCACAATTAAGTATTCCCAGAAAGCTGTATAATACATTATAATTTAGACACTCCCCTCTGTTTTACTTTGTGAAAAGTGTATCAGAAGTCTTTGTTGTCTCGATGATGCATGCATCAGCCAGAAACGGTCTGAGATGTGAATGAGTCATTGGTTACACACTCTTCAATCAGATACTTGGGGAAAGAATGAGGACATATGTCATAGGGAATGTAGAGAAAGAACGACATATAAGGAGAAAGGAAGGGAAGTGTTTTTTCCAGTTATTTTCGAGCTGCCAGAGGAGCTGAGACAGGATCTGACATGCCACAATACAAGCTGGAATGTGTGTGTGTGTGTGTGTGTTCATTCCTCACTTTCTACGAGAGTCAGTTTGCTTTGTGAAGAGGGAAGTCGAGGAGAGGTGGAAAACTGTTTCAGTCCTAGTTGAAACTGACTGCTGTGTCTGTGTTTTCAAGGACAATGCGATCATCACCCCCCCCCCCCCGC